ATTAATCTCGGCTATTGAAAATTTCTTAGAATGAAAAGCTATCAAGTGGAGCTTGTCATCTACTCCCATTTAGGACAAAATAATACCTATAGCAAAGTGTAATGTATTTTTTTTGATAAAAAATGCCTTAGAAAAATTGACACAATACAAAATTGGTATAGAAATAAATATTATTTTTAAGGCTTTAGAAGATACTTTAACTTCTTTATACCACTAAAGTTTATCTTTACATGTCAGATATATAAAAAGAAGTGTAATTTTAAAAAAATCATGATAAAGTTTTTGTAATAATTGACAAATCTCATAAAATATTGTACATCTCTGATTATTTTTAGAATATTCCAATCTATAATAGTTTGAGATTTCTTTGGATCCATCATTAGTCCTTTGTTGAAAATGATGTATTTTAAGAAGTCAACTTGAGTAGTGTGGAATACATATTTTTCCATCTTGGCATACAATCTTCTATCTCTAAGTTTTTGTAACACATAATGAATATGAAATTCATATTTTTTTATGTTCTTAGAGTAGATTAGAATGTCATCTAAGTAACAAATAATAAAATCATCAAAAAATTCACAAAAAACATCATTCATGAAATATTAAAAAGTAGTTGATCCAGTTATGAGTTCAAAAGGCATGATATTGTATCTGAAAAGTCTATACCTAGTTTGGAAAGTAATATTCCATATATTTCTTTCTTTGATGCAGACTAAGTTATATGTTTCTTATAGATTTATTTTTATATAGATCTTTGTTTGATTGACTTGATCAAGAAGTCTTGAAATCAAAGGTAGGAGATACTTATACTTGATGGTTATTTTTTTAATTTTTGATAATCTAGGTATATCTATAAAAATCTATAATTTTTTTTATAAATACAATAGGAACTTATGTTGGAAATTTAGAATGACATATGAAGTTCTAGTCAAATTTTCATCAATGTACTTTTTTAGTATAACCAACTCATTTTGTGATAAGGTATAGATTGGTCCAAATAATAGTTGAATTCTTTCTTATAAATCAATTGAATAATTATAAGATTGATACTTTGGAAGAATATCTACATTTTTCTTTTTAAAAATGTCCTAAAAATCTTGATTTGGCTAGGAATATCACTTAATGTCTTTCTACCATTAAAAATAGGCATGGCATGTATAACAAAAGATGATCATTCTTTTGCTTTAGTAATGAAAGCTTTTGGATGTATTAGTAAAAGTTTAGATGTACAAGACTTATATATTTCTATTTGGCTAATAAAATTTTAGATCAAACTATAAGAAAAGTTAAGGTTATAAAAAATCTAATCTATTTGAGAATTATACTTTTTTTAGTAAAATAATCTTAAAATAATTAGATTAGATGGAGATCTTATTATATTAAATATTACTATACTATTATGATCTTTAATTACTACATGTAAAGGAACATTTTTATGGATAACAACTCCAAAAGACATCAAACAACCATCTATGACTTTTATATGTATAGATTTGATTTTCTTGATTAATGATATTTCTTATTTTTTGACAAAGGCTTCATTTATAAAACAAGGTGAGGCTTCTAAATCAAATAAGATTAAGACTTTGTGATTTTTTGGTCCTAAATAAACTTCTATTATAAAATTGGGAGAGAGATTTGAAGAAAGAATAGGATCTTTATTAAGTATTATACAAGATTTCATCTACATGGTCTCTATTGTAACTGAAAAAATTTATTTTTTGACACATTTTTTTCTTTGAGAACCATTTTTCTTATTTTGTAATTGCATTACTTCTTTGAAGAATGTTGAGTAGTGTGCTTGGATTTTTCATAGTATAGATACAAATTTTTTTAATGATGATGGATCTTTTCTTCTTCAATAAGAAGTTTAAAACATATTGTATCAATTTGCATAGGCTCTGATTAAAATAAATAAGCTTTTGAAAACTTAAAAGGTTTCGTTAAGGCTTGAGTTGTACTTCTTCAACCAAATCTTTGTTCTTGGCATCTTTCATAGAATTGATTGTCACATACAATGGATTGAGCGATAAATTACTTTTGTGAATCTATCCTTAGCATTGTCTATAATAAAACTTTGATATTATCTTTTAATTCATATCAAAATGGATTGATAAGGGCTTTATCATTCTAATCCACATTGTACATAAGATTTTGGAATTCAGCACCATATAAAAATGGCCAAACGTGATTCTTGCCATAGCAATAGAAACTTGGTCTTTGCTACCTTTTTTTGATCACTTTCTCTGAACGTATTCGTAAATACTTTTAAGAATGAATTTAAATCATAGAATAGTTATGAATCTTTTTCTATCAAAGGTGCAAACCAAAAGAAAGTAATTCTTAATAGAAGTGCATCTATGAATCATACTTGAATAAATCCATTAGTATATTCCAAAGGATGCAACCTTAAAAAGAGCTTAATTTGTTGTAGAAATCCTTAAAAATTTTGATCTTATTCCATCAAACTTGTCAAGTATACTAATCCTTACTTTTCTTGTAGAAACAAGACTTCCTGAATTCATTTGTGAGGTTGATCTACTTACTTTATTTAACTATATAAGTTCTTCATATAGACTTTGGATTTCTACCATATGTATAAGAATAATATTTCTATGATTTATACTAAAAATATATGAGATTTCTACTCTTAGACTGTTAAAAAAGTCATGAAGATTTGTAATAGTTATAAATCTATTTTCACTTTTAATGAGAGTAGCATCTATTATCTTTTCTTCTATACACAACTCAAAAAAATTTAAAAAGTTAAGTTAGAGGAAGATAATCTATAACTTCTAATATCAAATGAAAATTTCTACAAAGAAGGATAATCCACTCTCATTAAACAAAATATAAATGTTAAAAAATCAAACTATTTATTTAAATATAGGTAATCTGTAACCTTTAAAATACAACAATAAAAGTAAGTAATCTACTCACTTCTAAAACAAGACAAGAACAATAAATTAATACTCTAATAAAACTATCAAGGATACAAATCTTAAAAAAAAAAAAAATCTTCAATACACTGTTATGGCATCCAAAAAGCTAAAGTCACTTAAAGATAATATAATATTAAACTAGAATGGCTATTGCCAAAAACAAGAAGACTAAAAAGATATTGACGAAAGTGAAAAAGGCTTTATTCTTACCTCAATATATATACTTTCTAACTAGGAGTTATATTGCAATATGATATAAGACCTCCAACATGTGTTGACTTTGCTAAACATATGACCTAACTTACAAAAAAAGTTATCTATATGTGCACCACATTATTAGCTTGTTTTACAAGCTACCATCATATGTGGTTCATGGTTAATTTGTTGACCAAGTTTCTAACCTATTAATCAATTACAAATACATGTAAAGTCAAAATTGAATCTATGAAGCTTCTAAGAAGCTTATCTAAAAAATACTATAAAATTAATCTACATTTACCTACTTCTACTTAATCATATAAATAACTATTGAAATAAATGTGTATGTCTATGATAAGAGCTTTTGTCTTATTTATAAAGAAAAAAGACAAATCTTTGTGAATATGCCTAGACTATTGAAGATTCAACAAGATCACCATCAAGAATAAATATCTTCTACCTTGATTTTAAAACTTATTGATCAACTCAATTAAAGAATATTTATATCATACTTGTTTATATAAGGAAGGTAAATTTGTGTTACTTCAAATTCACACCAAAAATCACATGATATTACACAACATGCATTATCCCATCTTTTGCTTCAGCCTGTCCTCCAACCACCAAAGTCGTCCAGATCTTTATAAAAATTATAAAATGTCTTTCGCCTACTGCTTTGCTTCTATGCCGCCTTTCCCTCTCTCACTTTGCTGCTGAAGATTAGCTCCGCCCTCTCCCCCGATTCTCAGCCTGTCTTGAGCAAAATCCTTGGACTATTGTTGTATAAGAAGCTAAAAATTCCGGGGTGTACCATGTCGTAGTTGACAAGTGAGAACCTGAAATCCTGGACGCTCCGTGCTACGATCTATGTGCCCTGAACCTCGCTCTTTTGTCAGATTATGATTTTTGGCTTCTGAGTTTTTTTTTACCCATCATTGAGGCGTAGACTTAACATTTCAAGAGTTTCTCTGATCCAGCAATCACAGAACAACGAAGTATTACATCTTCAGATTCCAGTTCCAGGGATGATAGAATTATTAAGATTTGTTGTTTTTAAATGAAAGAGGTGAAATGGTGGTTTGTATTGTTTCGCTGTTTGGGGCCATTAGCCACATCTGAGCACTGTTTAATTTGTTGGTCAGTCATTGTTTTTAAAGGCGATTTTGAAATGTTTGTACAATGGGTTTGTAGGGCGTTAAGATTTTGAATTAGAGCCGGAGCTACCGTCGAGGAATCGTTACAAAAGCCTTCTCGGCGTTGGCTTTGCTACGTGGATATGGTTGGTACCGAATGCCTGGGTTTCCCTTTGATGGGTAGAAACTTAAACTGGCATTGATTGTTGCGAAGACTTCCCTCTCAGAATTCATTTTTTGTTTCTAGCATAGTGTGGGGCTGTGGAGTGCTTGGTAGCTTCTGATTTTTGTGTTTGTTTGAGGCAAATTTACCGCACAACGGCTCTCAAGGAACAAGACCGGACAAGGTGAGAGTCGGGGGACAGGCATTATTCTCCTACACACGGTAGGTGGCTTCAGAAGTGATGCATGTGTTTCCGTTAATAAATTTCGAGATGGGACTCATTAATGTGAGGCTGTTCATGGTTGTAGGTGCAGTTAACGATTGAAGCACATACCGCTTGTTCTCAATCTCGGCTTCTAAGGTCTTCCTGCTGGCTCCATTCCAAGTGTTGCTGTCAATACGGCTCTTAAATCCCACTGCAATGAAAGTTGAAAAAAAGGTAAAAAAGTAGATTTCAGATGATGCTTGTGTCCACTGCTTCCACCTCCACACAATCTGATTGCGTCTTGTCAAACGTAACGTTCACGTACTTATGTTTTGGATAGAGCTTTGAGATACACTGCATATGTCAATAGGTAAAACTTCTTATGTGAAATTCGGCCACATTCAATGCAAAACAACAACTCCCTTGTTTTGCAGAAAGTACAAACAACACTGATACCAACCTTAATCAAACTCAACTAACATCAGCATGAAATAATTTGTCATGCAGTGTAGTTCAATACAGTTTATGTCGGGCAAATATGGAAAAAGAATCTACGAACACCCTTCCATGGAAACCCATTCACATCGTCAACCTCAACCCACCTTCAGGGCGTCAAATTTCCCAGAGGAGTCTCGAACCCATCAAGCTTGCAGTGCCGACAGTCCTGACATTCGACGACGACCACCACCACCACTCTCCGAGGTCTCGTTCCTTGAAAGACTTCGTGCGGTAAATCTGCCTCAAACAAACACGAAAATCAGAAGCTACCAAGCACTTCACAGCCATTGTAAATTCTTGTTCTCCATGTACAAAAACAACATGTGTTAGGCTCCACGTAGCAAAGCCAAAGTCGAGAAGGCTTCCATAACGATTCCGTACCATGGATATTTAAATAAAATGACAAACACTGTTGAATACAAAAGAGAAAAACACAAGCTGCCAGAGTTCGGCGTCGACACGCACTGTAGCTCCCAGTCTTCGGTATCACCAGGAGGTGGAGGTTCGTAACAGTGAGGCAACATTCATACTCTACAACATTGGTTATTGTAATGGAGCGAAGTCTGACGATATTTTGTACATTGCTGCATACCAACTCAGAAACCTGACGTTAACATGCAAAAGTGAGTAATACTTTGACGCACATACAAAAGCGTGTGGCAAGAGTTGAGACCTCACATATCGAGCCCTTTTGATTCGCTTTGCACCCTAAATCAAGTCAACAAAGCCTTCGAAGCAACATCACACAGCAAGCATGCAACAACATCGAAGAAGGGATAAAGGATGCAACGCTCATCGCATCGGACCGGCCACAAACGATCTCCCAAACGTGTGCTACCTAAAAGTTCGGCCCGAGCAATACATGAAATTAGTATCATTTATCAAGCACATTGCAAACATTAAAAATGTGCACAGACAGCTCCGCAACACAATAATATTATCCATTCACCTTGTACCTATCACTTACAGAAGCTCCCGCCGAACAGAAGAGCCACAGAGAGCACTCCAGATCACAACTGAAGAGACGAAAATGGATTATATAATAGATATAGACTAACGAACAGAGATTGATGCACATACCCAAACATACCCGCGAAGTCTGCGACTATGATATAACCGGGTATTAGAAGCGGATTATCCTCGGGATCAGATACCCGTATGCGCACCGATGCCCTAGAAGGGAGGTACCTCGGGGCTGGACGTCGACGAGTGTGTCGTTGTGGCAGCGACGAGGAGAAGCGCGGCGATGATTCCACTGCGTTGTTGAGCTCACGTTTCGAAGGTCTGTTTGTCCTCGTTTCGATTTCTCGTGGGGGACCTCGTGACGCTTCCCCCTCCCGTCGCGTTTCGTCATTCTCATTGCCCCGTCGCGTTGGAGCCTCTCACCCCCTTTTTGCTCCCACCTCTGGTTAGGGTTTAAGTGATCACTCTTCCCAGCTGCTGTTGCTGTTTAGCGCTCTGCTCATCCATTTCGGGTAAGGACATTGTCTTTGTAAATTAGGAGTGTCTTTGTTTGGGTTTGTTTGAGCTCGGTGGTTCCACGTGGAGAAGGGTCGTTGTGTGGTGTGATTCGTTGGCGTTTTCGGGGTCTGAGTGCGGTAGGACGAGAGATTCGTGTCGATGGTTGTTTGATTTGGCTTTTGACGGTGAGAGAATCGGCCTTTCAATTGTCGAATCTGAAGTTGGGAGCGTGGATTTCGGGTTTGAAGGGAGATTTCAGTTTGACGACTTCATGGGTTCGGGGGTATGGTTTTCGGCTGGCGATCTGAGTCAATCAGCCGCTCTTGAGTCCCTTTTCCTACTGAGCGTGATCTTTGTGGCGGTGATGATCTCTTGAAGAGTGAATCGTGGAGGAGATCCTTAGAGGGTGTTTGTTCCCCGTCCTCTCTCCTGCATCTTGGCATATTAGTGTAGTTTCAATACTGGTTGTTGAGAGTCTATTGTGTGCTTTTTTGACGGGATCGCTTCCCGGATTTTGCATGCAGTTTAGTTTTTACAAGGACTTTTGCAGAAAGAAAAAAATGAACGAGTCACAAGAAATTTAAGATTGTAATGAATTCGACACTTGCAAATCTTTGGTTCTAAATTCTGAAACCCTACTTCATTGGCCTCCCGACGGAAAGCTTGCCGTCCTCTATTTTCTGTGACGCCTTCAAATTTCTCAGTCTACTTAAAGACAATGATTGCTTGTTAGAGGAAGATACAGGAAAGTGTGTGTTTCCTGAACGCTAGTACTTAATTTTCTTCGGAACCCGTCATCTGATTCAGCTCATCATAGTATAAACCAAAACTATACCTGCTGATTCCATCGCACTATCTCGCGAAGACTGGAAGTCTTTTTTCGAATTCATCAATTTTAGAATTTTGCCTTGTGCACATATGTATTGCCTCCAGTTTTCCATTACTGCCTATTCTGATTGTCGAAAGCGTAGACTGTTTTGCCTGAATAGAAGTGGGAATGTGGGTTTTATGGATGAACTATTTTTGTGTAGCTTTTGAGGGAAGTTTCTTGTGGTTTATGGTTTTTTTGCTGACCTAATTTTTCTATACTTATCAATGAGTATTCTCTTGTATTACTTTATCTTGCTCTACTGGCAATATTTTCCTTTTTATACAGGAAAGTTAAAGCGGGCCTTGAAGTGTAGTATGCAGACGTAGTGCATGAACCACTTCGATACTCAACAAGTTTTGCAAAGTTTGTTCATTGTTTGATCGTGTGAACTTTACAGTAATCTCAGGTCAGGCCTGAGAGTATAATTCGTTCAACTTGAGCAAACATGGAGAGGAGATTTCGTGCATGTTCAAGTTGAAAAGGTTCCGAGCTGGTCAAGGTGGATTCAAGCTGGTGAGTCTGTTCTTTTCCAATGGCGGAGAAAATTTCGCCAGGATCGCATCAGGGGTACTGGGGTCCAATCACTGCGAGCACGGAGTGGTGTGAAAAGAATTATGAGGTCACTCCGATGGTGGCTGAATTTTACAATACTATATCCAATGTCCCCGGTATCATTCTTGCACTGATAGGTCTATATTACGCCATCAGCCAGAAATTCGAAAGACGGTTCAGCGTTCTTCATCTGTCGACTATTGCGCTGAGCATTGGCAGCAGTCTTTTTCATGCCACACTTAAATATGCGTAAGATCTTACATCTTGCTGTTTAGCAGTTTTTAACCCTCTACTACTCGTCCATAAACGTCGATCTTGTGAATCTGGATAAGAAGGGCTAATGTCTTGGCTTCAAAATTATTTCAATGTCACACTTACGAGCGTATTGCCTGACCAGTTCCTTTATTGTTTGCATGTGCGACTCTTGCGAGCAGTCAACAGCAAAGTGATGAGACTCCTATGGTATGGGTGATGCTTCTCTACATCTACGTGCTCTACTCTCCAGATTGGCATTATCGGAGTACAATGCCTACTGTCCTGTTCCTGTACGGAACTGTTTTTGCCATTCTGCACTCGCAGTTTAGGTTTGTTGTGGGATTCCAACTGCATTTCGTCTTGTTGGCCCTGCTTTGTCTACCGAGGATGTATAAATACTACATCCACACCACAGATCCAGCAGTGAGGAAACTGGCTCGTAAGTATGTCTTGTTTCTTGTTATGGGTGCAATATGCTGGCTGGTAGACCGGCACTTGTGCAATCAGGTATCCAAGCTCCGGATAAACCCTCAAGGCCATGCTTTGTGGCATGTGTTCATGGGATACATCTCTTATCTCGGCAACACATTTTTACAGTATTGCCGAGCTGAGCAACTCAATTGGAACCCGAAGGTTGAGCATGTGTTGGGAGTTTTGCCTTACGTGAAGGTGCAGAAGAGCGATCGTGATCGGAAGGAGCAATAGGACCAAGTATGACCAACGTGCATTATGCATGTTTTTGTGCTAAGCCATCGTAGGCGCATGGTTGGTCAACAATACAGTTATTAGATGGTAACGTATGAAAGTCAACCTTTGTAATGTATCGTCTGTTTCCTTTCTTGGTCTTAATTCCTGTTTTGTAAAGAGCGGTTATTGGAAAAGATCTTTCCTTCCTGGTTTGTGAGCCAGGCCCGGCCATGAAAATCTGTATTACAATGAAACTTTTCAAAAGAGCGTACAAAATGACCTTTCTCGTTCCTTTGGACTTCACAGGTTTCTCTGCTAGTATTAGGATTTATGGAGCTGCCATGACACGTAGTCTAAAGTATTGGCTCACTCGTACTCTGTACATGAGCACCGTTCTTGTTCAATTAGGTGTATCATGTCGTCAGATTCATTCAACCTTGAACAGGTGATACAATCAATTTCTTTGCAAAATATGACCAATTGGGTGTCGATTATGAACTGACTCCTGTCTCGAGATTGATATTTAGCTTGATTGATACTCTAATAGAATTTGACATGAATTTGATAGCTTTTTAACAAAATTGATTTCAAGTCTGGCACCTTATCAGTAGAGTGAATACCATGTGTTGATGAATTGGAGTTGTAGTCTTAAATTAGGCAAATGAAAAAAAGAAAGATAAAACATGTGGTTGTTGAATACAATTCATGTGTAAATTGTTTAGGACAAAATTTGATTTGTTATAGCCACTAGTTGCTTGAGTTTGACTTATCTGTGGTTGAGTTTATAAATTGATCATATACAGTTGGTATAATTTCATATAATACAATTTAACATTGTACAGAAAAGAAAAAAGATTATTTTGTCAATTTGATTTTTTGGAAGTATTCCAAAATTTCCTATTCATTTGATCTTTTTTCACTCTAAATGAGACAACATTGTGTTCATCTAAATTACTATTAAAAGAAGTGATACATAATTTTTCATCAAATCAATTGAATAAATCATTTTTTATTTTTAATTTAAAGTTGTACCTTTACACTATGTAGACTATTCAAAACATAAAATTTACAACACTGGATTAAGTAAAACACATTGAGTAAATTAACTAATTGTATTTGTAAGTTAAGTGAAACTTTTGAGTTTGCTTGTCTAGGTTAAGATGATGATGTATAGCTATGAGAATGTATGCTTGTAAGGACCTATACTTATTGGACACATGAATTATGAATGTTAGTTGACTTTGGATGCAAAGCATTCTAAAAGATAAGGATATTTGGAACTTAGATAAGCCACTACTAAATGAAGGTTGCTCACATGAAGTGGTAGGATGAACGACTAGAGCCAATTAGACCCCTATTCATGGTTGAGAAGCAAATCAACAAAGAATTAAAACATCCAAAGCAATAACTTAACTTTTATTTATTCTTGACTGCTTCTAGAACATCATTGACATCCAAGACAATGCTTTGAAGCTCTTGAGCACACTCTTTCAAAATAATACTATTTCAAATACAATAATAATACCAAGTAAATGAAAATATTTTTAAACAACAAAGCAATAAGATGTGTCTACTTTCATACAACACATAAACATCATGATTTGTAATCTAAGATACCTTAAGTAATCTCAAAGAAATAAGATAATTATTTATCAAATCTTGGTTTTTAAAACCAATTAATAGACGCTTCTTACTGCCATGCACCTCTACACTTATATAATAACACTCTTGATTATATTAAAAAGGTTTAGAATAAATTTATTGTAAAAAAATTTCTAAATGAAATTTATACGTTTTTTTAGAGTGCATAAAAGAATTATGTGAAATATATTATCATGTTATTGATGTTACATTTCTTGATTTTGCAATCTTTATGCCAATGTTCAAATTTCTATTATATTTGATAAGGATAATCTAAGCTATAATATAAGGTTGTTATAGAAGAATCATATAATATGAGTTGTGATATTAATTGACATAGTTGGAGAGCTCTTTATTTATAACAATGTGATCCTACTTCTAATGTACTAAGTGCCTTTTGTTATTTCTTTTTATTTATAAGACAAAGAAATAAGACAAGTGACATTGAAACAACTATTTATATACATAATAAAATAAAATAATGCTACTAATAAATAGATAAATAAAAATTAAAATAAAAATTAAAGAATGAAGTTAAAGATGTAACAAATAGTTCTTTTATCCTAAGAAAAATCATCAAATAAGCCAATAATGGTACTACACATCTCTTGTCACTTTTTTTGTAGAAGGAATTTCATCCTTTGATATTATTTTCTTTTTCTTTTCCTATGACAAGTCCTTTTTAACAAGATGAAAAAACACATTTTGGCAATGTTAGATTTTTAAAAATTGCTCCAAAGATATTCTTCGATAAATAAATAAAAAGTAAAAACACTAAACTCATTTATATTACTTAAATAGTGTTTTATTAATGCCATTTTAAATATTTTAAAAAAATATTTTTGTGTGATTTATGATTATAGATTATTTGAATTGTAATATAAGACTATGTTATAAATTATTGTACATTACTAATTTGTTTTAATATTTTATTCTTGCAACAAAGAGGTTTTGATGATAACATATATATATATATATATATATATATTTCATGATATGTCTTAAAAATACTTTTAAATATTGATTAATTCTAATAATGTTGTTCACATCCAAATAATTTTATCTTTAAACAAAAATATTTTATTTTTATGCTACCCTACACTTGCAATAATGCTACCCAACTCTTTGGATCTAGCTCTCGCCAATTAGAAGATGCGTCTATTAGAAGATCAAACAAAAATCGACAGGCCTTCCAAAATGAGCATGTCGGAGATTGTTGCTGATTTTACCTCACGTTTCTCCAGATTCCTCGATGCACTTGTGTTGCAGCATTTGGGTGCAGGGAGCACGTGATGAGCTTGCAATGGTTGGCTTGAATTAAGACTGTAACAAAATTTTGAACTTTTATCAGCTACAAAAACTACATCTTGCTGTACAAATTATGCGCAAACAGTTCTCAGAGAATTCGGGCCTATAAACAACTTTGCAATGGAACTCCAAACGGCAGCAAGGAAGCGGCGGCTTGGAAGCTAGGTTTGTTGGATATTGCAATCAGCATTCTCCATTCAAAATCAGGCTTCATTGAGAGTTTGTCATGTCCAGTGAAACCTGAAACTGGCTGGGAATACCGAACAACTTGTCACCGCCAAATCCACTTCATTCGACTGCTGCAACACATCTCATTTCATAATCCTTTTGATCGTTTCAGTATCTCATTTCATGGCCAATGAATAGATACCATTCTAGTATGCAACCAGGACCACTCAACACAATCTTACAACTCATCACAACTGTTCGAATTTGTGTTCAGAAGGATATCTTGTAACCGTGTTCTGAAATCTCAACCAATCGAGTCCGTAACACTGTAACTCATGGTGAAGCTCTTTGACAATATGGGGAGATGCCTAGCACTCAGTTACTTGTAACTGGAAAAAAACACAATGTCGCAAGTGCAGTTATCATGTTCCGCACTCAACTAGGTGCAGAATCCAGAGGCCGGAATGCTGTGCATATTTACCTTACACGTGATAGCATCAATTTGAAAAAAGCTTGCTCCTCCTATCAACGCTTCAGGAACTAGCAACAACCAGAACTACCTCGCAGATGTACTCTGCAAACTCTTCTTCAAAAGGGGTTTTTGTCTTGGCTAGTCTGGGAAGCTTTTTAAGCTTTCTTAACTTGGACGTCACCACTGAAGCTCTCACCACACACAACCCCACATCATAGTTGGTTGCTTTGCAATAACGTCTTTGTCCTCTTGTTCACTCAAATTGCTTTAACGTTGATGGTATCCAGTATTTTGATCCATGTCAGTGGACATAAGAAAGTTGTTGATCTTGTCATGTTTTAGAGGTCACTAAAATGTGCATATCAATAAGGAAGAGTCATCTAAACAATCTCAAAGTAGTTATTTGACATTTATGACATTTTTATTATAATTTTTTCATGGTTGTTTGATTATTCAAAGTATGAGTTTTATTATTATTATTATTATTACACTTCAACTTTGTATGTATCAATTATGATTTAGATTAAAAGATCCATATTCATTAACTAAGTAACAACAATTTGGAAGAATCAAACCAATATGGAGGTTTAAACCAATAGATTCCAAACAATAGAAGGTTAATTAAATATACTTAGTTAAATATACTTAGTTAAATATACTTGATCCATTTAAAAACTAATTTGATGAGATTAGATCATAGAAGGCATGTCAAAAATATTTCACCAATATAAGAACAAGACATTTTAAAGTTTGGATTATAATATATTAAATTAAGAGAATAAATAGCAAGAAATAATAAAAATAATAATTCTTAGTAATAAATTAGAGTAGTAGAAATAATCACTAAGAATAATAGTTATTAATAGTACCATTATTTTTATTATTATTATTTGATTTATGATTTTATTTGAATTGATTGAATCATTGTTTAGAAATTAAAATATATCATGAATATAATGTGAAAAATCAACCAATACATGTGTATAATTTTTTATTTATTTTTATTTTGTACTAGCTAAATTTTTGCTATTATTATAAAATCTTAAAAATCTAATTTGTTGGAAGGCATATCTTGTACCTAAGTCCTAGCCACTACTCTTTGCTAGTATAATTGAACGTCATTCATGTATATAACATCATAGGATCCCACATCAATTCTATACTATGGAGCACAAAAAAATAGCTAACTAAGCATAACAAATAAAACTATAATAAACTATTTTTTTTGCAAAAAATTAGATATTGTTAAGAAAATCTTAATGTTTTCATTTAAAATTATACTTATGAAACTATGCCTTTAATGTAATATCTCATGCAATGGTTTAAAAAGGAATCCAAGATAATATGTTTTTAATCATTTATAAGCTACTTAATACAATAAATTGTCAAAATATACTTGCTATAAACTCTTAGTGGATAGAAATAAAAAAAATAATAAATAAATAAAAGACAAAAAGATCTAAAATATTTTTAAAATATCTTGTGGATAAAATAAAATAATTTTATGTAAAAAAATAATTATTATTTAAAAATTTCCATTAATTCTTTTGAAACATGGAAGATTGGTAGAATTTATGATTGAATTCTAAAAATGCATGCTTAAGCCATAGTAGCCCATTATTGAATCTGTGTAGAGTAGCTACAAATAATCATTGAATTGAACAAATATCTCTTTGGAGGTGAAAATCTTAAACATTAAGATCTATCTCTAGTCCATATTACAACCAATCACTAACATGAAGCACATATATATACACATATATATATATATATATATATATATATATATATATATATATATAATACCTTACTTCATTGATAATTAGGTGTAAAATTTAAGCCATTAGAGGTTCTATAGTTCTAGTATGCAAGCTAACTAATTGATGTTTGTTTGTTTGTTTGTTTTTTTTTTT